GAGAGAGAGAGAGGGTGGGGGGGGAGAGGAGGGAGAAGAGGGAGAGGGAGAGGGAGGGAGGGGGAGGGAAGGGAGGAGGAGGAGGGGAGAGAGAGAGAGAGAGGAGAGAGAAGAGAGAGGAGAGAAAGAGAGAGAGAGAGGAGAGAAGAGAGAGAGGAGAGAGAGGGAGAGAGGAAGGAGAGGAAGGAAGAAGAGAGAGAGATGGGAGAGGGAGGAGAGAAGGGAGGGAGAGAAGAGGGGAGGAGGAGGAGAGAAGATAGAGAGAGAGAGAAGAGAGAGAGAAGAGAGAGAGAGAGAGAGAGAGAGAGAGAGAGAGAGAAGAGAGAGAGAGAGAGAAAGAGAAAGAGAGAGAGAGAGAGAGAGAGAGGAAGAGAGAGAGAGAGAGAGAGAGAGGAAGGAGAGAGAGAGAGAGGAGAGAGAGAGAGAGAGAGGAAAGAGAGACAAGAAAGAAGAGAGAGAAGGGAAAGAAGAAAGAAAGAGAGGAGAAGAGAGAGAAGAGAGAGAGACAAGGAAAAGAGAAAGAAAGAGAGAGAGAGAGAGAGAGAAGAAAGAGAAGACGGGGAAAGAGAGAGAGGAGAGAGAAAGAGAGAGAGGGGAAAGAGAAAAAGAGAGAGAGAGAGAGATGATATCCGTCAGCAATCTTGGCAGAGAACGTGATATGCGTCAGCAATTATAAAAATAATGCCTATATTTCCCTATCGCATTGCATATCATTTTCTATTTACTTCTGCCACGTTTGTTACTATGAAATTATTTACTTCTACAACATAGTAATTAAAGTAGTAATGATAATAACAGCACATTGCTGATAATAATGGGAAAACCAGGGAGCATTAAAGTCACAACAGCAATATTAGTATCATTATTATCACTATCATTCCTGTAAATATCATCATTATCATTTTTGGTTTTGTTATTACTGTCATCATAATAATTTCGGCTCTTCTTATTCTTATTAATATAATTATTATATGAATTTATATCAGCATTATTATCATATCATTTATCGTTCATTTCTACGTTATGCATTTCTTATCAATATCCTACGTATCATCTATTTTTTTCATTATTATTGTCGTGATTATCATTGCCATTATTTCTATTATCATTATCATCTTCATTATTATCATTATCATTATTATCCTCATCGTCATATCTATCATTGCTATTCCTAATTCATCATTAGATTATACATCGCTATCAATGTATCTTTATTATTCATCGTTTGTTTTTTATCATTATTATTATCATTCTCACATATAATCTCCTTTCCCCTTTCGTTGCCAATCCTTCTCCCTCTCCCTTTGCGCTTCTCACTCTCATACCTTCGTTAAATTCCTTTTCTTCACTTTCTTCTTCTAATACCCCCTCCACCTCCTTCGCTTTCCTTAACGCTTTTCCCCTCCCTCTCCCCCGCCTTCCCCCCTTCTGTCCTCTATTTATCTCCTTTTCTCCTTTTTAAAAAAGTCCCTTCCGTTCCCCACTGTTTCACTTTTTCCTCTCCTCTGTCTCTTGGTCTGTCTGTCTCTCTCCTCCCTCTCTCTTCTCCTTCTCATCCTTTCTATCTCTCTTCTTCCCTCTCTCCTCTCGCCCCCCCTCCCGTCCTCCTCCCTCTCTCCCCTTTCTTTTCTCTAACCCCCCCCCCCTTTCATTCCCTTTCCTCCTCACGTCTCCTCTCTTTCGTCTATAAAAACACTTCCTATCCCTTTTTCCTTTATTCCTCTTTCTTCTCTTATCTTTCGAAGAATTTTCCCTCCTTTTCTCTCTCTGTTTTTTTCTCTCTTCTCTATTCGGCGGATCGTGCCTTCCCTCCTTTCTCCTCTATCCC